TTCTGACTGATGATATTGAGCTTTTCCATCGTCTCTTTCTACAGATGTAGTCTTCATTTGTTCCTGTGTATTCTGTCCGATGACGTCCACATGTATAGTCTCTGTTTATGTTGGTGAAAAAAGGTATTTGCAATGAAGAAGTCATTGGTCTTGCAAAATTCTATCATGCCATCTCCAGCATTGTTTCTATCACCAAGGCCGTATTTTCCAGCTACCAATCCTTCTTTGTTTCCAATCACCACTAATTATCAGTGCATCTTGATTGCATGTTTGATGAATTTGAGACTGCAGAAGTTGGTAAAAATCTTCAATTTCTTCATTTTGTCCTTAGTGGTTGGTGCATAAATTTGAATAATAGTCGTATTAACTGGTCTTCCTTGTAGGTGTATGGATATTATCCTATCACTGACAGCGTTGTACTTAAGGGTACATCTTGAAATGTTCTTTGTGATGATGAATGTAATGCCATTCCTCTTCAATTTGTCATTCCCAGCATAGTAAACTATATGATTTTCCCATTCAAAATGGCCAATGCAAGTCCATTTCAGCTCACTAATGCCTAGGATATTGATGTTTATGAATTCCATTTCATTTTGATGATTTCCAATTTTCTTAGACTCATACTTTGTACATTCCATGTTCCAATTATTAAGGGATGTTTGCAGCTGTTTTTTTTTGAGTCATGCCACATCAGCAAATGAAGGGTCCGAAAGCTTGACTCCTTCCACATCAAGGTCAACTCTACTTTGAGGAAGCAGCTCTTCCCCAGTCATATTTTAAGTGCCTTCCAATCTGAGGGGCTCATCTTCCAGTACTATATCAGACAATGTTCAGCTGCTATTCATGTTAGTGGCAATTCCATTGTTGTAGTTCCTTAGCAAAAAACCTTAGCCCTGAAGTCTTCACGGAGCCCTGGTTGCACAGTGGTTAAGAGCTTGGCTGTTAACCAAAAGGTCAGCAGTTCCAATCCACCAGCTGCTCCTTGGAAACCCTATGGGATGGTTCTCTGTCCTATAGGGTCACTATGAGTCGTAATTGACTTGATGGCAATGGACTTGGTTGTTTTTTTTTTTTTTTTAACTCTTCACATCCTTTCTCTGAGTTCCACCTAAAATCTCACCATCTCTACTGCTATTATTCTAAGACATTATCATGTCTTGCCTGGATTATTTCAGAAGCCCCTTAACTGGTCTTTGTTGTCTCATTTGCGTCTCATCCATCCCAGTCTGTCCTCATAGCAGTCATGTCTACAGCTTTGAGATGCACATAAAACAAATATAGCAAAATAACTCTTCAATTTAAGAGTAATCCTTCATAGAGCTGTCTTAGATGGTTTCTTCTCTAAGTAAGTCAAAGACCTTACAATGGGCTACCAGTTGCCCTCAAGATGATTTCAACTCACAGTACCACATGTGTGTCAGAGTAGAACTGTGCTCCATAGGATTTTGAGTGGCTGATTTTTTAAGAAGTAGATCACCAGGCCTTTCTTCTGAGCCACCTCTGGGTGGACTCTAACCTCCAACCTTTTGGTTAGCAACCACTTGCATCATCTAGGGACTCCTACAATGGTCTGTTGTTAGCTGCCTTCTTATTAGGCCCCTGACTCTTGGTGACCCCATGCACAACTGAACAAAACACTGTCTGCTCCTGTGCCATCCCCATGATCAGTTGTGGATCAGACCATTGTGATCTACAGGGCTTTCAGCGACTGATTTTTGGAAGTTGATTGCCAGGCCTTTCTTCCTAGTCTGCTTTAGTCTGGAAACCTGAAACCTGTTCAGCATCATAGCAAGATGCAAGCCTCCACTCACAGATGAGTGGTGGCTGCATATGAGGTACACTGGCCGAAACTGAACCCAGTCTCCTATATGGAAGGCGAGACTTCTGCCACTGAACCTTTCATCTTTTTTTGCTCACGTCACCTCAAAATTGCAGGCTGACATCTTGGTTCTCTTTACCCTGCTGATTTTTTGTTTCTATAACTTACCTGTTGTACTCCCTTTGCTAGAATGCAGTGAGGGCAAGGGTCTTGGTTCATTAAGTATCAGAAGTGCCTAGAACAGTACCTGGCACATATTAGGTGCTCAATATTTTTTGGATGAATTTCAAACTGTACTTAATTACTTAAGGGTTGTCAGGTTAGTCTTTTATTAGTGTACCAGAATACCCATCATATTTTGATTGAGGTTTTACTGTATTAAGGTGTGGGCACAGCATTGAGGTGCTACTTCACTGACAGATTTGAGGGCTTCGTGTCCCAGTAGGGATTATCACAAATAAGCTTCATGTTTTAATTTTTTAGCTCATTTGAGTATAAACTATGGAAATAGACCGTTATGTATCCTGCTACTCTCTTAAGTAGTTAGGAAAAAATCAAAGTGGTGCATGCATGAAATATGCATTTACTTTGCATGAATTCAACTAAGTGTCCAGCAAAGGAAGAAAAAAAAGTAAACCAGGGTAACTTAACGGTACTTATTGAACCTAAACCTATGCCTCAGACAGAAGTGAATCTGCTGGCTGGTGTGGAGTCTAGTTTCCTCTGTACCTCACAGTGTAAGCATCTTGCTGTATGAGTCTACTGTTTGAAGATAGTTTCTAAACACTGACTTTATCTGGTGCTCATCTGTACGGTTTGAAAGCTGGAGAAACCACATTGTACATATTGTTGACATGGAATACTAGCAAATCTCCTCCATTGTTGGGGGCCTCATCTAAGTAGACAATAGAGGGGAAATTCTTAAAATCATCCACACATTCTTGTTCTAGATTTTACTGAACATTGTTTAAACGAACTTCATAGCTGAGGGTGCATTTGACTGGAGGGGAGTGACTTGTAATATTGATAAATCATGAAATCTGACTTCACACAATACAAATTATTCTTTGCTCTAATCATCCACTTGGCAGAGGCTATACTCCATGCCATCATTCAGGGACCCCTAGGATGACAGAGGCTCTGCCTTTAATACAGGGATTTCAAGGTGTCAAAAGCCCGTATTTATCTGGTTTCTTGCTTAAGGTGGTGTTTGTGTTTATACATCTTATAAATTCCTTTATTTTCAAGTTGACAGCTCTTTGTGCATGTGTTTAATTCTGCTAAGTAAGAAATCTTGGCATTTTAAAAAAAGATGGTAAAATATCTAATCTACCTTAACTAATGCTACTCAAATTTTCTTTCTCAAAGCTCTTTAAGTGATGGTTTTGTTTTGTCAAGTGTCTTGACTCAGACCTAAAGTATTTTGTGATTGAAGACAGACAGTAAATATTAAAGGCTTTCTGAAGATCTTGGGTCTCTTTGGGTAGCAAATTGCTTAGTACTTGTAACTTGACCAGGACTAGACTATACGCTCCCTCAGTGAAGGAGAAGCACCTACTGAGCTTGACATTTTTTAGCACAGTGAATAGAAGTGTACCCTTTCTTTACCCTTCCTGATATAAACTGTACCAACTCTTAAGAAATGAGCCAGACAGAATTCATGCAGCTAGTTTTACATTGTTGTTACTGTCAAGTTGATTCTGACTCATGGCGATGCCATCTGTGCAGAGTAGAACTGCTCCACAGTTTTCAAGGTTGTGATCCTCAGAAGCAGATAGCCAGGCCTGTGCTGGTGCCTAATCTAGGTGGGTTCAAACTGCCAGCCTTTCAGCTAGTAGTAGAGCACTTAACCGTTTGTGCCACCCAGGGATTTCTAGATTTATAATGGCACTCCTGAAGAGTGACATCTTCAAAATGTACATTTATTAGGGATGTTTAATTTCATTCAAATTACAGGAAAGCAGTGGTCAGGTTTCTAATGCTTAGAGACATTTTCTAAATCAATCTTTTGTCTTATAATCTTAAAATTAAGACATCTTTAAACCTACGAAAGAAGTACCAAGAGTAAATATAATAATGCCCTATATACCTACTATCTGAAATTAACAAATATTAACATTTTGCCATATTTGCTTCAGGTTTTATTAAAGAAGGAAAAAGTTAAATACAGTGAAAGCTATTCTGTCCCTTCTTTCATCTACAAAGAACTACTTTCCTAAACTTGGTGTTTCTTTCCCATCCAAGTTTTTATACTTTTCTCCATATGTATGAATCCATAAACAATATATGATATTGTGAGTTTAGATAAATATTTGTAGGTTTAAAAAAACTCCTGTTATGTTATGTACTGCATATTTTTTGGCAACCTTTTTTCTACATATTCATTAACGTATAAAAATTTAGTTCATTTATTTAAATTGTTACCTATCCCCCTAATGGCATATAAGTAAATTTAAAATTTCCATTATTACAAACAATGAGGTGAACGTCCTTGTGCACAAGGATGAAAATGTATGAATTTTTCTCTAGGGTAGACTCTTGGAAGAGGAATTGGTAGGCCATAACATATGTATACTATCATTTGAATTAGGTATATAACTCTCCAAAATGCTGATCAATTTGCACTCCCTTAACTGCAGATGAGTCCTTCCATTATTCTCTACAAGTGTTTGAAACAGTACGGACTAGGCAATCAGAATCCATCGAGCCTTCAAACAGAAATTTCAGTTTTTAGGAAATACTGGGGATAGAGGAACAAGCTGCACTTGGTTACAGTCAGGGTCCACTCAATGGTAACTGGTTTTTAGGTTAAATTCTTTGTCAACTTCACCCATTGCCAAAGAATCGATTCCGACTCGTAGCAACCCTATAGGGCAGAGTAGAACTGCCTCATAGGATTTCCAAGGCTGTAATCTTTACGGAAGCAGACTGCCACATCTTTCTCCTGAGGAGCAGCTGCTGGGTTTGAACCACCAACCTTTCAATTAGCTGCCGAGCTCTTACCCACTGAGCCAGCAGGGCTCCTTTCTGTCAACCTAATGGGTCTTAAATGGTATCTCAAAGTGGTTTTAATTTGCATTTCTTTTATTACTAATGAGGTTAAGCATCTTTTAAGTTTATTGGTTATGTTTCACTCTTCTGTGTATTGTGCTTTTTATCCTTTGCTAATTATTCTATTGGATTTTTTTTTTTTTTGGTCATTTTCTTGATAGGTAGTGCTGTTAATTTAAATGTATCCAAATTTAGTTATGGTTTTGTGCTTTCTGATGTGTGTATGTATACAGACATAAACAAAAACCTTTTCCCACCCTTGATATAAAAAAAAAATATACTGTCTTCTAAAGTGTGCTTTTTCCCATTAGAACTTTAATCCACATAATTTTTTTGTATGAGGTGAACTAGGGATATGGATATCTCCATATGGATAGCCCACTGTGCCACCATAATTTATTGAAACATTTCCCACAGATGTGTTATACATCAAGTTCCCATATCTGTTTTTGCATTCTATTCTGATCCACTGATCTGTTGGTCCCTACGGCAAAAACCACACAGTTTGAATTCCTATACCTTTATAAAAAGTCATGGTATCTGGTTAAGACACATTCTCCCGTTAATTTTTTCTTTAAAATTGTCTCGATATTTGCTTATAAATTTTACGATCTGCAGTCTCTTATTTGTGGAAAAACCTTGTTGGGGTTTTGACTGGAACTGCACAATATTTATGGACTTATTTAGGGAAGAACTGACATTTTGACAATGAGTCTAATCTATCAACATCTATTTATTAGGTCTTTTTCTACTCTTTTAATTAAGTTCTATAATTTTCTCCTAGAAGGTCTTATGAATTTCTTCAAAGATGACCAGTTTTCATTGAAATTATGTTTGTAAAAATTATAATTTTGAATTGGTAGTTTAAGTAGGGCTACTACTGATTTTTATGTTTTGTGATTTCAGAACCTTATTTGTAGATTTTTTTTTATGTTCACAGTCTTACCTTTGAAAAATGAAATGGATTTCTTCTTTTAATCATGAATATTTAGAAGTATTTAAAAATTTCCAAACATATGTTTGGAACTACAAATGTGTAAGTTGCTAAGAAAGTTTTAAAGTCTGAACATACTTTGCCATATTAACATGTTACTGATGTCCAGCAATTTTACAATTTGTATCTTGATTTTATACCCTTAGTGTGTACCCTCCTCACCCTTTTGTTATTGATTTCTAATTTAATTGCATTGTGGTCAGAGACTGTAGTATGTATGATATTGATTCTTTAGTATTTGTTGAGATTTGCTTTGTGGCTCAGTACATGGTCACAGTACCAAGAATGTGGGAGATCCTAACATCTGGGATTATGAATGTGTTCAGAGTGGTTTCAACTAGTGTAGCATAAGTTTTTATGTTAATTTATTTACTTGTGGTTCTTGCATCATGTAGCTTGTAGAGTTTCAGACCATACATCTGTTTGTGGCATAGGCTGGGATTTTGATTTCCTAAGGGATCCTGGATATTTTTTTCTCTGATACAGAGCCCTGGGAAGAGACAAATGTCCTGCTTCTTTCTTGGGAAGAAATGTTCCTTCTCCTGTATTCAGAGAGGGCAGGACTTCAACTTAATGCAAGGTGTCTGTTTCAGCTCCTTACCGTTTGAGGGCACAGGGCCACTTCTATCCTTGCAGGACTAGGTACTTTCTGCCCTGGCTTGCAGTTGACTGTTTCTGGTACCCTGGATGTCCTTGATTTTATGTGTGTGGTGGTGGTGGTGGTTTGGCGGGGGTGTGTGTAGCAATTATCTATTAATGTTATTTCTGCCCATCATGTTGCCAGAGGTCTAGGATATTCTTTAGTCTAAACCCGATACCTCCTTTTATACTCCAGAACTGAGTTTTAGTTATACATTTATCTTGTCATTAAAGACAAACAAACAAAACTCACACACAAAAACAAATTATATCCTAAGGTTTACTAACTAAAGCAATTTTACTGGACTTGGATTTTATCCCCCAGCTATATATCTGCATCGTAATTTTCATATGTTAGTGAGTAGCCTTAAAGAGAAGCTCCAGAATTTTCTTGGTAGTAAAACATTAAATACTGAACCTTAGGTATCCTTGTTTCATGATGTCTTAATGAGTTCTGGCCAAAGAAGACATCCAAATATCATTTAACTTGGGCCTCACTCTGGAATGTGACTTCTAAAGGCTCTAATACTCCATGATGGGCCATCCTGAAGTAGAACATTTACTGCCTTTAAGGATAAAGCGAAAAAGTTTGTGACCTTTTAAGCTGCTAAGACTGAAGGAAATGGGGAGGCAGAGGCAAGTCAGAATCTTGTCACCTGGAGAAATAAACCTGTAGGATATTCATGTTACTTACTGTACAGCTTACTAGAAGGAGGAATGCCAACGCTAGAAATTGGGGGAGGAGGAATGAGAACTGCTAAACCAATTGTAAATAATTAATTTATTCTCCCAGGTAAAGGAATTTATTATATTTATACACTACATATGCTCAAGAACAATTCACTCATAATTTAGTACTGACTTTTTGAAAGTTACAGCAATAATGTGAGAGAGCTTTTAGTTACAATGTAAGAGTGTTATTTGTTGGATTCTGAAGTATTCCAAAGATTTTTGATATACACCCATTTGGGGTTAACACATGGCTATTTTCTGGTTAAACATCATGTGGGATTACACATTCTCACCAAAATAAACTCCTATAGTGATGTAAATATGACTAGTCTCCTTTTTCTCTTAAACTAAACGTGATTCCTTTGGCTTCACTCATCTGCCTTCTAGCAGCCTCCCCATGTTAGCCTTGCCACATGGTCAGTCTTCTGTTTGGTAGGTTTTATAAATCCTAAAAGTTCTAGCTCAGAAACGGCTCTAATAAACCGAGCACTGGAGACAGCAGCTAAGGAAATTTGCCAAGTTGTATTTTTGACAAAAAGAGGCTTAAAATCTCAATGCTAAAATGTTAGTTGGTAAACTGAAGTAGACAGTTCAAATATATACTCCTAAATTAAACTCTAACCCTTACTGGAAAACATTAAATGTTATCAGAATCTACTGTCAGTAAGACATGAATGAAAAAGTGCTCAACGCTTACCTGAATATAATTTTTTCACACAGTATAAAATAATCCCCTCCCCCCCCAACTTCTAAAAGTACATCAATACCCTTAGAAAACCAGAGAATTTAATACTGACAGTTCCATTCTGGGTGAATTTTTAAAAACCTATACTTTGAAATATGATCTTGATATAAATGCAGAACCTAGTATTTAGGTTTGGCCTTATTTTAGATTAAATTCAGAATATTTAGAAAGTTAAATTATTCTGGAAAAGTATGGTTAATATTAACAAGTAATAAAATTGTTTGGAGCATCTTTATAAATCTTTAATGTAGATCCAGAGAGACTGTAAGTTTATATTCTATGCTATTTGGATACTATACAACTTGTTTTAAAAGGATACTGGATAATTTCATTCATTTCTTCCGAGACTGTAGAATTTGCATTCATTTCAGCAGCTGTCACAACTGTTGCAAAGGCCTTTTGAAAGGACAAAACAGAAAAAATAAAAATCTGTATAACAGCCCAACATCTTTTACTGAACTTCCTTTGATACTGAACTTCCTTTGATGGTTCTACAATGAAGGCCTGGTCAGGCACTGCTGTGGCTGATGGTGGGCACTTTTTTCCCATCACCAAATTTCAGATTTTCAAAACTAAGTGATGACCACATTAAACCAATTACACATTAAGAGATAATGTCATGGTTTCTGAATAATCTTATGTTTCAAAGAACTAAGATGCGATGCAAAGAAAAACAAGAAAACAAAGCTAGTCAAAGTCAAAAGTCAAAGGAAGCCCTGCATCCTCTATAAAGCTCCCTCACCCAGGAAAACACCTATTTTTCTTGGAAGCAGCCAATAATGTATATTTTTAAATGGTGACATCTGTCAAATAGGGCCTTCAAAAGAGTTTAATCTTTGTAATACTCTTCTGAGGAGGGAAAGAAGAGTCTTTTAAAGAATAACAACAGTTGTCCAGTGCCTTGCCAAATATTCCTTGTACTTCTTGATTGCTAATCTGTTATGTAGGCATTCCAGTATACATTTTTTTTTCTTTATGCAACAGAGGAAATGCTACTGAATAATATACTTCTTTATTTTTTGGAATAACACATAACAAGCCTAAATTGTTTAGCTTTTGCTTAATGTTAACGATTGGGTTATATCATATACTTATTCTGACCTGGCATGAGCTGAGAACTGGCTTGGTTGAAGGGTGGAGGGGTCAGAGGGCAGGAATGGGAGTGGGCTGTTGATCAGTTAGCACTATTTCTTGAGGAACTTTTGTAGTATGAGGTGATTTATAACTCCCAAGCAAAAGACAGGGCATTAAAAAAAATAAAAGGTGAGTTCCAAAGTACTAAAAGTATAAAAACATTCCAGGAAAGCTGTCATGGAGGGTTAGACAAATACACAGCTTGGTATTTTCCCCCGACCTACCTCTGACCAGTCCACAAGGTTGATTAGCCTGCTACACTCTAGGTGCAGTTTATATGCTATGCAGATGTCTGGTGCGATATTTGGAATGCAGTCTTCTTCACTCTTCAGAGCTTCATTCTAAAAATAACAGTAAACTAAGATGACTACTTTTTAGAAACAATTAAAAACAAAACTGACACTAATGAACACCTTAACCTAAATTTAATAAATCATTAAATGGAAACTTTTGGTTTCTAAATGTCCTCTGTTTAATGAGTTGCATTTAGTCTTCACCAGTTAGTTAGCTAATTCTTGTTTAGGATTAGGTCTTGATCATAATCCTTCTAGCTCCTAGTCACTAGAGTATTTCCAGAATCAGAAGACATATTTTTCATTTTAACCATGAATTGTTAATTTCTGAGACCCAAATGCATTTCTAATTATATTAAAAAGTTTATGGAATTCTTGGTGAATATTCAATAAAATGCCATTTCCAACATTTATTAATTATCTGAATTCTAGCAATTACTATATTGTGTTAGTAAATACCAATATAGCACTACCAGAAGTATGACTGTCTCTCAGAGAAAGGACTGTTCTGTCAACACTGCAAATCCTAAATCATATATAAACCATTAGTGTTTTTTTAACCTATTTAAAATCCGTAATTCTTATTGAGAAACAAAATCTCACTCCCACCTTATACTGTAATATATCCTCCCAAAGACTGCTGAAATCACACCTACCAACAGAAAAACATCTCATGAACCACCACTAGCCAAGAAGAGTTAATTTTTGTTGTTGTTGTTTAAATATTAAATTACTCAACCTCCCCACTACCACCACCATTGAAAGCCACTGCTTTATATCATCTTACTCAGTAGTATTCTGCAATGCTTTGCATGTTTCTGTGCCATTTTGCAATAGGAGACCAGTACATTGGGATGCTCCTCATAGATTTTATGCAGTCACTTCTTAAATATCTTTTGTGGCAAAATTTCTAGATGCTTAATTGAGTTGACAATTCTTCCCAAATTATTTCATGTTTACCTATAATATACCTTACAAAAAAAAACAAAACTCAACCTGTTACTGTCACGTCTATTCTGACTCATAGAGACCCCGCAGGACAGGGTAGAACTGCCCCATAGGGTTTCCACTGGTTAGCAGCCTGAGCTCTTAACCACCTTACAGAAATGCTTAATGTGATTATTGTAGCTGGTCATGAGAAAGCCAATGTTTAAAATTCTGAACTGTCTTGAGCAGGAATTATCTGTTTAAAGAAGAACTTCTAGGAATCGGTAAACGCACATGGACTTCTATTCAAGTAGCAAGTGGCTCTGCTGCGGTACGCTGTCCTAGAATTTTAGCCTGGCAGATCGCTGGCCATCTTCTACACTTGGCTCTGCAGATACTCTCAGAACAGATCTTTCTTTGGTTTAAAATACAAGATGAAATCCCAAGTATTTTTTCTGTCAGAAAAAAACCATCTGTATCTTTAAGTAAGTTGCTTAAGCCATACTGTTTGACCCATTATCTGCTGTTATGTCTGTAGGAAACACTTCCTCTTTATTTTCCTAAGAGTGGTGGCATTATATTCCCCAGTTTTAGTGTCTATGATCTGATTTTATCACATGAAGGGCGTTCAGTTTATGCATGGTCAAAAGTGGGCAGCATCAAACAGAAATTCCTTCTAAAGTCTAAAGAATTTATAAAATACATGAAAGAGGTATAACCCTGAGCTGCCAAATCTCTGCTCATTAAATTAGAACTGCAAATTTACAGCATTTTTGTGACAATTAATGAAGCCTGCAGCCTGAAGTAAAATGTCAGAGAAATGAATCTGTTTCTTACCTTGAGGTAATAGTAAGGGTTGTTGAGGGCAGTGTGGAGGGCTATTCGCGGAGCAGCATTTAAGTGCTCTCGGAGGGTGTGGGCAGCACTGAAGTACACCACCTCATGCAGAGGCTGTGTCTCTGGAGGCAAAAGGTATTCTCTGAAACAGCCAAAGTCAGACAGCAGCTGTTAGATACGTACAGGTTTATTTTCAACATTTTTGTCAACCCTCTGTGGAGGACTGAGCAATTTATTTAAAAAGCAAAGTCAGCAACACCAAAAACAAACACACAAATGAAACAAAACCCAAATATTAAATCCAGTGCAGGTTAGCTCACAATTGCACTTATTTCATGTAATATATTTTTTAAATTTTATTGTAGTAAAATATATATAACAAGATCATTGCCTTTCAACCATTTTTATGTGCACAATTCAGTGACATTAATTATATTCACCATGTTGTGCAACTATTACCAATATCCATTTCTGTTTTTCCCATCACACTTAACAGAAACTCAGTGCGTCTTAAGCAGTAACTTCTCACCACACAATATTTTAAAAATTCCTCCAGACTCTACAGTACGGACAGCCTTTAGGAACAAATGTACAGACATTACATTTCTGCCCAAAATCTTTAAGGTAGAATTAAAATATTAATACTGTCTCAAGTATTAATTTCTTAAAGTAAATATTTAGAAAATTGCAATATCCACATTCTCTATCATAGCAAACACTGAACTCTTGGTAGTGGCATCAGGCCTTGACATAAGAATTTAGGAAATTAATTTTTGGATCACAAAACATGTTTTAACTGATGTCTAGCATGGAAATAGTACCACAAAAGCTTTTTATATGTTAGAATTATTTTTTACTTTGGAAGGCAGGAAATGTTAAATGTTGGTTTTAGAGTATTAAAAAATAAGTGAACTGTTCATCAATAAAATTTCAATTAATTAAAAAAATTTGGCATTCTTATTTTCCACCTATGAACTAGATGAAAAACCAGTTAATGAAATCTAACAATAAGGCATTTAATAAGCTCACGATGAGTGCGTAATGAACCCACCAGCTGGTGTGCCACAACAGTGACATCTCTCTCAGAACTGTCTGGAGGGTGGCAAATTAGAAGGCAGATGCTTTAGAGCACAAAACCTCAAAGTCACCAACTCTAAGTAGCAAACACAAATCCCTTCATAAAGAAGGTGCTGGGATTTTTAGTCCAGTCCTTGGCTTAAAGTATTTTGGCCACATGACAAATTTGTGTCAGCTCCTTTTCCCACCAGTAGAGCAGAACAAGGCAACTACCTCAGCTCAGCCACCAAGAGAATTATAGTCTTCTTCCAGGTGTTCTGGCTTTCCTCACTCCTTTTGGAGAGGATACCACTGCCTAGAAAATCTCCCTACACTTGGTCCACCCTGCTGTGGTCCATAGCTTTGAGGAAGAGAGAAGTGAATAGGGTATTAACCATGTGCACTCCTCACCATCTTCCTCCTCCCCATCTCAAGAGCTCCTGGTCCTCTGCCCATTCCACTTCTGGACTCACTCTTCCTCCAGTGTGAATCAGAACAAAACCCACTTGCCAAGAGTTTATGATTTTGACTTGGCCCTCACTAAGCACCTGCATGATATATAAGTCCTGCTAACATCTTAATTACTCAAGATTGAGTTAACTTAGCTGTGGCCTCAGGAATGATTTCTGTGATGTTGACTGCCTCTCTACTGGCTGTCTACCAACATGCAGTTACTCTCCAGTCATCAGGCATGGCCATCACTAAAAGACCTTGTTGAACTCCCTGTTATGTAGTAAGGACTAGAAACTAAACAATGCAATCAGATCATCAAAGAGTCAATTTCAGAAACTCAAAACTATTGCCTCACATATGTGCTGTTCTCTCTTCTAAACATCTTTATACTTAACGTTTAGAAATTCAGACAATTCTCCAGACAGAAAGCCTTTTCAGTTACCTTCACAGAACCTCCATCAGAGGCAAAATAAAATGTCTGCCTTTATTTTGTCTCCACTGGGCTATATTAGTTAAACAACAACAGTGACAAAACACCATACATTTGAATTTTTGTCCAACTGCAGACTTTGAGCTTGGCATAGAAATGAACTTCTGCAACTTATTTGCTATGAGAAGAAACAAGCAACGAGTCTGGCACTTGAGCACTACATGATGCTCCTTTTGGATTCAAAGTTTATAAGCAAAACACAAGCACTTCCCCTCCCCAAAAGAGAGGTGGTTCTGAGGGAAGTGGTAGGAGCATTTAGACTACAGGGCTACAAAGCTGAAGCTTGTATTATGGAGAAAACAGTGACAACTTATTTTCAGCTCTCAGCATTTTAGCCAAGAGCTCCTCCTGGTATACTGTGAAACCTGTCTGCTGGACTCTGTCTACTGCTTATATTTATCTTCAAAGTAGACATCTTTTTTCAGTGAACTCCAAGCTCTTTTCAAACATCTGTGATGTGGCCCTTGTGAGCAGTGTGAAGAAATGGAGAGGGCCTTTTGACAGAGCTGTGTGACCTTTCCCAGGTCACAGCCCCTCTCTGGGCTTTGGCTGCCACATGACTCCTCAGGTCCCTGTTGGCTCTAACATGCTACAATACTAGTCTCTTCTCTCCTGGGATACATGATCTTGGTAAAGACAGTATCCTAGTATGAAGAGTTTATGATTTCATAACACAACACATTTAACCCAGTACACAGAAATGGAGTGAGTGGAAACAGATTCTTTACTTACCTGACTACTTGACAAAACATAAGGCTTCCTAAGGAAGGTATTTGGAAAGGCTGAGTAAAAATAGGATTATATTGGACAGGACTAGACACTGAGGAACTCTAAAGGAGTTGAAACTGAGTGGAGTATGGGAATCATCATAATATGTAATGAGAAGAAGAATGGGGCTGGTAAAAAGGGCCTAGTCCTGGACCATTAGGTTGACTGTCTCAGGCAAGCCAACTGTCTATGCAACAGTGGTGCCACGGCCCGAGGACCGTGTACATGGTTCTCCCGAGAACTTGAAGAGGTTTTCTGTAGAATCAGCCAAGGGCTCTACATAAAGAAAATAGTGATTGGTCTTATACTGAAAGTTCCCTAAGGAAAGCTTTCAGCGCAGAGCTGAATAGAAAATACCAGGTGCATGTGGCTAAGTACAGATCCATCCCCAGATATTTCAAGGGCTAACAAACTGCAGTGTTTGAATACAGGCCTAGGGGAAACATCAGGAAGAAACATAAGCAGATAAACAATTCAAACATGCCAAGTGACTGATCAGCATTGGGGTCAAGGTTTATATTGGCAACAGCTCACTTCTACTTAGTTGCCCCCTGGCCCCATCCAGTTAGGGCAGGAGCTTGGTATGTCCCATATTGTTGGCACAGGTAAGTGAAAGACAACTGTAACTGTTCTTTCAATAAAGTGACACTCATTTTTTTGTTTTTCTATTGATGCTCTGAAAAAAACTGTGACAGTGTTTGCAGCTCCACTCCACCCAATGATATATACATAACTTACAGCTTAGTTGTCCACACAGCCTGCCTATAATTCCTCCCTTAAGTTCTGCTGGCAGTTTACAAGTTGCATAACTCAACAATTTTTGTATTTCAAGATTTATAAAAAGAGGGGCACTTCCGGGCAACGTGGCGCTATAGTCAGAGGCACCACGCTGTCCCTCCGCAGCAAAGATCAGAAAAACTACGTGAAACAGTCACACATCAATCCTGGAACCCTATGCATCAAATGAAGAGATAAAGAACTCAGCCAAGCACCGAATGGAATAAGAAACTGACCAAGAACAGAGAGCAAGGAGAGATACACACAGAGGTCCCGTATCAGCTAATATAGCACAGATCTGCCATCTTGGACTCCTATCGGAGATCAGCGAACAGAGGGTATCAGCAAGCAGCTTCATGGAGCTTCCAGCAGGAGACAGAACAACTGGTAACCAACAATATATGCTTTCCCACTCCCTACCCTCCTTCACTCGCACTCGGCCTCCTCTGCTTCCTGCAGCCACAGTCTCTTGGCCACGAAGCACCCCGGGGTCGCTTGGATTCTACCCACCCGCACTGGCCAGCTCCCTGAGTGCCTTTTGTTGGCTGCTGGTGTTGCTGTTTTCTGCTTCTTTAGATTTCTTCCTTACCTCTCACCACCTCCCTCTCCTTTCTCTCAAATACCTGGCTCCGTGCGCCATCTTTGCTTCTTCCTGAAAGGCTATGAAACACCGCTCAACTTTGAAACTGCTTCCCGGCCTGTGTCGCCATGCTGGTGGGACCCCAGGGGCTTTTCTGTTTGTTTGTTGGTTCTGATTTGTTTGTTTGTTTTCTTTTTCTTTTCTCGGATTGGGAGCCCCTTCTAGCTGGGCAGTACTGTGCAGCTTGGAGGCTACTCCCTTACTCTGCACAGATACACAGGGACTTCACTGGGGGCATTTCTTTTTTCGTTTTTTTTTTGTTTGTTTCTTTGTTTTCTTCTCTCTCTTAATCCTTTGTCTTTCTTCATTTCCAGTTTTTCAATTTATTCATTTTTTTCTTTTACTCTTTTTTTTTTTTATTTTTGTTTTTCCTCATTTCTCAGTCTCTCATCTCTCCACTCCAATAGCAAGCTCCCTTAGCACTCTTTTTTGTTTGTGTGTATGTCTTTGGCTCCTGTTCCTCTCTCCTCTCTCTCATCTTTCCCATACGCATCTTAGCACCACACATCACAATCTACCCACTCCGTCCTGCCTACCTACACCGTGCACTGAACATCACACTCCCAAGCAGCACAGGCACGGTCTACTGGAACCTTCCCTGCACTGATTCCCGGTCTGCACTATCAGCCCTGGTATGTGCCACAAACAACCCATCCCAGCAACTCCCCTTCAGCTAGACCTGCCCTGCTGTACCATACCTGAGTGACTGACCCTGCCCATTGGAGAAGAAGGTGAAAAGTATCGTGCCCACAGATAAGCAAACAACAAAGAAGGCAAAGCCCACCTGCTCAGACATAGCCAAATAAAACAAAAAAGGAGGATGAAACAAACAAATCTACAATCAATAAATGAGGAAAATAACTACTGAATGCCCCGAAGACAGCAGACAATATCAAAACATCTACCAAAACAGGACAGGATGGTTCCAGTAGGCGTCCAAAATAAAACACCAAGTGACCATTCAGTAGAAGAAAAGGCACTAGACCTAACTGATAGGGAATTCAAATCTCTAATATTCAGAATTATCCAAGAGTTGAAGCAAAAAGCCGACAAAAATGAGGAAAAAATAGACAAATTCATGGAAAAGGCAGACAAATTCATGGAAAATACAGACAAAAAAATTGAATTCAAGAAAATACAGGAACAAAATGCCAAAATAAATTCACAAGTAGAAATCATACAAAAACAACAATTAGAAATCCAAAAGATAAAAAACAAGATTTCGGAAATGGACAGTGTCACAGAACGGCTGAGAAGGTTTCAAATGACGGAAGACAGGATCAGCAAAACTGAAGACAAACACTTGGATACAAATCTGTTTGAGGAAAAATCAGAAAAAAGAACAAAGAAAAATGAAGAAACCCAGAGAATTATGTGGGATACAATCGAAAGCAAAAATCTGTAAGTGATCAGAGTTCTAGAACAGAGGGAGAAAACACAGACAGGATCACTGAAGAACTGCTGACAGAAAACTTCCCTGATATCATGACAGATGAAAAGTTGACCATCCAAGAAGCTCAATGAACCCCATATAGGATAGACCCCAAAAGAAAATCACCAAGTCATATCATAATCACGCTCGCTAAAACCAAAGACAAAGAATCCTGAGAGCAGCTCGAGAAGAACAAAAGGTCACATACAGAGGAGAAACAATAAGACTAAGCTCGGATTATTTGGCAGAAACCATGCAGGCAAGAAGGCAATGGAATGACATATATAAAACCTTGAAAGAAAAAGATTGCCAGCCAAAAATAATATATCCTGCAAAACTCTTCTTCAAATATGATGGTGAAATTAGGACACTTCCAGATAAACAGAAATTAAGGGACTATGTAAAAACCAAACCAAACATACAAGACTTATTAAAGGGAGTCCTTCGATGTCAGAAAAAACAACATCAGACCACAGGCTGAATATAGGACACAGGATTGTACTAGCTAGATACCAACCTAGGAAATGAACTCTTAAGGACTATGCAAAACCAAAAGAATTACAACAGGGAACCAGAGAGGTTAATCTGTAAATGACAACAGCATCAATAAAAGAGGGAAAAAATGGTGTAGGTATAGAACCTTCTAATGGAGAGGAAGGCAAGGCGATACCAAACAATAATAGACTGGTTCAAACCTAGGAAGATAAGGGTAAATTTTAAGGTAACCACAAATAAAGTTAACAAATCTACTCATCAAAATAAAGAAGAAAAACATAAAAAGTCTCAGTAAAAACAAAAACAGAAGAAATGAAAAAAAAATCCACAAACAAAAGGAACTCAGCACAGGAGAGTAAGAGGAACAAAGAAAATGTCACCATCACAGACACACACAAAAAAAGGCACTACAAAATGCAATCCCACTCCTAGGAATATATCCTAGCGAAATAAGAGCTGTCACACGAATAGACATAGGCACATCCATATTCACTGCAGCACTGTTCACAACAGCAAAAAGATGGAAACTACCTAGAAGTCCATCAACAGATAAATGGATAAACAAACTGTGGTACGTACACACAATGGAGTATGTGATGGTTAAGATTGTGTGTCAACTTGGCTGGGCCATGATTCTCCGTGTTTTAATG